CTACAAGATGCTCCCAATCCCTGATTCTTGCCCCTTCCTCCATCACGACATCATCCTCCTCATTGTCACTTCCCCTTCTGAGTTGACTGTCACAAGGCCAATCTATAAAGAGACTAGAATAAAATGTGATTCGGGGTCCTCTGGCTTGAGGATTTAAAAGCTGGTGATTTTATTTCACTGCATCTACACTGGTCCTCATGTTGCACAGATATTTGATAAAGGCTGCCCTGATCTTGGACAAACAGAAAGGAATCACTCCATAAATCCAATCTAGGAGATATTGGTAAAGGAAAATAAATATTTCTGGAATTTTCTTAATAATAGAGGAGGAGAGATGAGATCTCGGACCAGGGATTCCCTTCAGGAATAGGATCTGTTTCTCTCCTGGGTTGTGTCCCAGGACAAGGAGGACTATGCAGTCACTCCTTCACAAGCCACACTGCTGAGGATGGTGGCAGCTCAAGCCCACATGGAAACAGAGAAAATGTTCCTGGTGACTCCAACTGAGCTGAGGGGCTGGGACGTGTGCCTCTCCTGCCATCGCCCACTTGGACTGTCCTGGGAGTGGTCAGTCCAGGCCCTGTGTCTGCCTTGTGTGCAGCACAGCTGCCTCCTGAGCCTCAAAAAACAGACTGAGCATAGATGTCCCTAGGGAATCATCACAAACACAGTGTGGCAGCAAAGGACAAGGCACCAGTAAGGTGCCAATGAAGTCAGAAAAATGGGGAAAGACTTTCAAACTTGAACAGAGCTTGTTGGAATTGGCTCTGCCTGGGCTGCTTTCTAGCAAGGCTCCCTGTAGTTCAGGCGCCTGGAAAGGCAGCAGGTGTGTGCTCAGCCCGTGGTACTTCAGCCAGACCCCTCAGCCTGTATTCAACAGGGAGACCCCTGGTCCTCAGCTGCCAGGGTGTGGATGCTGAAGGCACAGATGGCTCCACTTCCCCTGCTGCTGAGCTGGGATGGACGTCTAAAGCAAAGGCACAGAGGTGACACAGGAGCTGTTTGAATCTGTGCCCAAGTTCACCTGGGTCCAATTTATCCTCCATGGGCATCTGTGCTTGCTGCACAGGAGGCTGATAATCTCCTGGAGAGGCCCACAGGAGGTGGAGCCTGGGTCAGGATGAGCTGCCCCTCACTGCTGCAAGGGAAGAGCAGAAGGGGGCATCCATGGTGCATATCAGGGAAATGCAGTGGGTAGCAGTGGCTGTCACTTAGTTACCAGGCCTGGCCTCAATAACCATCCCTTTGTGATGGTGATCTCTGGGAAGTAATGCCACATGTCAGAAAGGGACAGAATAGGGGAGAGCCCAAGTCAAGGATGAGCTGCAGCCATTCAGCCCCTGAGCTCCAAAGAGATCTGCAGCTAAAGGTCACAGGGACAGTGAGTGACACACTCACCAAGAGTCATGTTTGAGCATCTGCTGGACTTTTCACTGGCTCTCATAATGAATGACAGCTATTTCAAATAGCTTTTAATGCACTGAACATGTTTCTGAAAAATTATCTAATTTAAAGAGAAGAAACCAATTTAAAGTCACAGATATACACAGACAACACAGTTCTTAGCAATCAGGGTCATTTTGGAGTAAGTTAAAGCCCCACCAGCCCTCTGCCAAGACTGTACTGTGTGTTCTCTACAAAAAAATAAATTCTCCATTACTATTTAAAAACCACCATGAAATGCTTAATTTATAGAAATCTTTCCATGCATTTCTCGTTTTGAAAATAGTCTCTAAAATATCTTTTGTTACAAAATGACCACAGGGAGAAACAAGCTCTCTGCATACCCATTTGTGCTGTACTGGTCTCAGCTGAGATCACTGGAGATGCTCACCCAGTGATGAGTGACTGAGAAAAGCCAGCCCTGAAGCTGTGCCCAGCTCTGCCCAGCCCTGCCCAGCCCTAGTGATTTGCATGTGCCCACAGCACAGCCCACTTCCCTGAGGACTTCTTAAGAGGCTGCTCACACCCTATGCAGAAGTCAGTTCCCGACAGGACACAGCATGGACATGAGGGCCCCTGCTCAGCTCCTGGGGCTCCTGCTGCTCTGCCTCCCAGGTAAGAAGGGACAACTCTGGGGGATGTGCTCAGCCCAGTGGTCAGTGCTGCCTCGCTCTTCAGGGAAGTTCTCCTGAAACATGATTAATTAAGGATAATTATGTTTATGTTTCCAATGTCAGGGGCCAGATGTGACATCATGATGACCCAGTCTCCATCCTCCCTGTCTGCATCTCCAGGAGACAGAGTCACCATCACCTGCAGGGCCAGTCAGAATATTAACAGTTGGTTAGCTTGGCATCAACAGAAGCCAGGGCAAGCTCCTAAACCCCTGATATATAGGGCATCCTATCTGCAATCTGGGGTCCCCTCAAGGTTCAGTGGCAGTGGATCTGGGACAGATTACACTCTCACCATCAGCAGCCTGGAGCCTGAAGATGCTGCCACTTATTACTGTGTACAAGGCTCCAGTTTCCCTCCCACAGTGATACAGGCCATGACAAAAGCCTCCCAGGGAGCAGAAGTGTGAGGCTGGGCTGCCCCAGCTGCTCCTCCTGCTGCCTCCACCTGCTGAGGGCACAGCTCAGAGGCACCAGGCTCTGGAGGTCTCTAGTAGACTGTGGTAGGAAGGGCCAGGGAGGCTCCTCTGTACCCCACCCTCTTTCCTTTTCAGCCCCAGCAGGTGAGACATGACCATTTCCTCCAGGTTTAGTGAGTGACTATCACTTTATGGGAGGAGTCTAGCTCTCTGCGTCAGTTTGGAATCCTTCCTCAGATTTGAAATATGTGGAATTACAGTCTAAGTCACAACTTTCAAAAACCACAGCTCCTCTGAGTGAAGGTGGAGCCTGTGGATTCATGCACTGGCCCAGGAGCTCTTCAGGGACACTCACACCCAAACTATAGCACAGACAATAATATGTACACAACATTATTGGTGCCAACAGCAACAGCAATATCACCTCATTGTGCTGGTTTATCCTTGAACCCTCCTCCTCCCCACGCATTCCATAGCAAGTGCCAGTGCCTCTTCTCTGTGGTACCTTGGCCTGGGCAGGACCCACAACAGTTCTACCTACTCATCCTCTGAGGGCTCCCAATCTTACCTTACCTTCTCTGGTGGCAACTTATCATCTGCTTTTGACACGTGTCCATCAAGTTTCCTGTGTCCTGATACACTCCCAGGTGAACTTCTCTGAGCCGTCTAGTAAGAAGCAGGAGACCGTCACTGCAATAGTTTTGAATCTGGAGTTTCCTGGCTTCTGCAGGCAGGTGGGTTTAGCACAAGCTGCAGCCTCTGGAGCTCTGGAGTGTTGCTGCACTTAACATGGGCCATGCTCACCAGCCTTGCACAGACCCCAGAAAACTATGCTCACATCTTGGACTCAGATCACTCCTCTGTCCACATTAAGGTTATGACCATGTGCTCTGCTCAGACATCTGCTAACCTCAAGTAATAAGTCAGTTGTCCCCATTACCATGGCTGCACTGGGAAGGMAGTGCACCTTCTTTGTKCCATTTGAATACAGTCTAGCTTCTTTMCCTSTGGMATAAACATATSTGTAACATCAATGAGGTCACAGGGGTCAAGTGATGCCATAAGGAAAGGGAAGGCTCTTGGGACCCTGGGACACTGTGTBTGTGTTAAGTGGAGCCTCTGCATCTCCTCAAGTCCAATCTCAATGTACCACTTCCATCTTAATGTAAGCAGTGCTGGGCCCAGTTGGTGCTGCCCTGTGCTGAGTCCCACACTCCCCTGTGGTGAGCAGCTCAGTCACTCAGTGCCCAGGGCATGGTGCCAGGGCACAGGGATGCCTTGGAGCTGCTTTTAGAACAGTCATTAGTCATTCTTCCTCCCTCCCTCTTTCCTTCCTTCCTTCCTTCCTTCCTTCCTTCCTTCCTTCCTTCCTTCCTTCCTTTTTTTCTTTCCTTCTGTTTTATTTCTTGGGATTGGCCTGCTCTTCTCTAGTGCTCTGCAGGTCTCTGCTGTGACTCTTATTGGGGACTTGTCAGAGGCACACACACTGTCCTCATCTAGTACAAATACCCATACCCCTAGCATTGTTCTGGGCCCCATGGCCACACAGCAAGGCTCCTGGGTCACAGCACAAGCCTGATGCAGAGTGTCCTGCTCTGGACCCCTCAGCACAGACAGGCTTCCCAGATACCTGATGAATGGTTGGTGCAGCTCACCCAGCATGGAGGGTGCCATCTCAGCTCTGCACAGAGCCCAGCAGGCACTGATTTTTCTTCTCAGTGATTAGAGGAGCAAGGAGCAATGCCTTGTCCTTCTTCTGAAGGAGAGGAAGCAGCAGCCATAAGATACCTGGGCCCCAACATCTTTTCAATGTGACAGGCCCATCAGTTGCTGTAGGTCTGCAGCCCACCTCTGGAGAGCATGGTTTTCTCTGGACACCAGAGTTCTTGCCATTTCCTGCTCATCATGTCCAAGCAACATGAGGCCATCCATGCAGAGTCACATGGGGCAGTGCTGCCTGGTGTCCACATGACCACAGTTACTTCAGGCTGTGACCTAGARCAAGAGAGTTATCTTTKCCTGAGCTCAGGTCTGAGGCCTGAGCTTCTGTGGATTCCAGAAGACTACAAGTTCAGCCAGAGGTCTGTGGCAGGTAGTGTCAGCTCTGTGACTGGGCCCTGAAGCTGGTCCCTGTATCTGTCCTGACAGAGACACTTGGTTACACCATTCTCTGTTTCTGAKCTTTGAAGGCACAGCTGGTACTTGAAGCCTCTCCCACCCCAGCAGAGTTGAACCAGGTCACTTCATGACATTGTCATCTGGGCCATCTGTCACTTTTCAAATTAAAAAAACATTTTTCACAGATACACTCCCCTTTCCTTTCAATAGATGTACATATAGTGTCCTTTACAAGTTTTCCCTGGTGGCTAAAGTTGCTCATTTAGTAAATCTCAGGAATGTGAATGACTTCATTTGCTGGGACATGGTGAGCAGGGCTCTGGGAAGTTTTGCCTCCGATGGGGACCCAGAGGGAGCCATGGAAGCCCCCAGTCAGCTCCTCTGCCTCCTGTTACTCTGGCTCCCAGTTGAGGGATCATGTGATGGTTCTACACACACCTGTGAAAACTCTTTCATTGTGGTTGGGTCCTGTGCCATGGCACCTCTGTGTAGCAAGCCCAGTGATTCAAGCTCTGGGGGCTGCAGGATCCTGGCTCTACTGAGGAGACTGGGGTATGACCTAGGACTGCACAGGTGACCTTTCTGTTCTCTTTACATCTTAGGGACCACAGGAGAAATTGTGCTGACACAGACTACATGCTCATGGCTTTGTCTCCAGGGGAAAGAGCCACCCTCACCTGCAGGGCCAGTCAGATTGTTRGCAGCTCCTTTTTCTGGTACCAGCAGAGTCCTGGGCTGGCTCCCAGATGCCTCATCTAGGGTGCATCCAGCAGGGCCAATGGCATCCCAGTCCAGTTCAGTGGAAGTGGGTCAGGAACAGCCTTCACCCTCCCATCACAGCCAGGAGMCTGGGGAGGCTGCAGTGTGTGACTGTCTGAAAGGCCACGCAGGTTACCACAGTGGTTTCATTGCCGTCAGAAACCTTACAGCCTCCTCTGCCACCCTCCCCCTGGGGTACAGCAGCTTCCCCCAGAGGCACCCAGTCAGATCCTTTGCACTTTTCTCTTCCCACTGCACCTGGAAAGGTTGTGTGAGTGGAAAACAAGGTTCATTTAGGTATGAAAGATTCATGGTCTCCTGGGCCCTCTTTGCTTCCCTGGAAGAAATGTGAGTGATTAGAGAGGATGGGGACACTTGGTGTTATTTTCCTATTTACCAGATGAGGATGGAGTCTCTGGAAGAGCCATGAGATCCCAAGCACAGGCAGTTAAAGATGAATCCCCCAGTGTAGTTTGATTCCCAGACATTTATATCCTCCTCATTTTGACCTCAACAGTATGTGGTTAAATCTGTCCAAGCACAGACACTGTCAAATGGTTCCAGAAATTGCTCCCAGGTCCTGTTCACATTTAAGCCAGAGTAAGAGGGAGGATCTCCCACATTCTGACCCTGGGATGTGGATGCAACCACAGCTTTTTTGCTTTGTGTGCAGCACAAGGAGACTCTCTCTGCCATTCCTGCTTCTCCACTGATAGAGGGCCCAGGGTTCCCAGGTGGAGGAGGTCATGTTGTCTCTTCATAGGAACATGGTCCTTTGGAGGCAGGTATCTTGTTCTGCATGTGAAATACTGAGCTTGTGACTTCTAAAGTTCCTTGGCCAGGAAAGCTGGCATTTTCTTGCATTTTCACTGATGAAAAAACCATAGCAAAGTGTCCTTGAATGGATTCTGGAAGTTTTACCAGACAACTCCCTCAGTGGTTGTCTATTAAAGAAAGTCATGTCCAGGTGTDTTGAGCTAGAACTGTATTCACACTCTTTCCCATTCAGGGTCAGACACCAGGAGGCAGGAATGTGACAGGATTTTTTTCTTTTGAAAGGTAGGACAGGTCACTCAGATGTCAGCTCCATGGAATGGTCCTGGGAAAGCCACC